GTCTCACTGCATTGCAGAATTACATATCATCCTTACCAAATTCTTCCGCGTGAGTACCCCCCCATGAAGAGGGACATTTCTTCACGATAGGTCTTGTGTTATAGTATGATCGAATGCACATGCGTGCATACCAATGGTATGATACCACTCCATCAGTACATCGTAATGTCGACAAGACCTGGACCTGTTGATGAGGACTCTTCCTCTTGTCTGTCGGGTGAGGGTGAGGGAGCAGTCAGCCAAGAAGACTACGTCAAGTTGCGGAATATGATTAACAAACAGATTATTGACCCACTGCAAGAGGCTGATCATCATCATCAACAAGGGTAAGTATGTGGTTGTAGGGAAATGGAATAGGCTCCTTAGGTCTTCACAAGGCAGCGCTCGTCCGACGGCCGTCACGTACAAAAACTTGATATCGTTGTTGCTGCCCTCGGCGCAGGAATACCACACCTTGAAGAAACGCAAGCAACTGCAGCGGGATGGGGAGGAGGCAGAGTCGTTGGCAACACGTGAAGTAGGAAGGCATCATCGTGTGCATGCGTGCAATATTATTTGCTAGGTGGACGGTGATCGACCGTCTCGCCAGCGGCGGCGGCCAGCAATAGCAGCGCTTGATACTGAACTAGACTGGCAGCCGGGGATTCGAACACATAGTCCAAAGACTCCAACACCCCCAACCCTCCAGCTTGAGGAGAGTAGGAAGGATGATGGTATGGAGGAGTCAGGCAAGATGCTATTAAATGACGATGTTATCTATTGCTCCTTTGTAGGGGTTCGGATGTTCACAACGACGGCCTTGTGGAAGTTTCTGAGTCCACAGACTTTGGAATCTGTACGAGCGCTACAGCTGTACCGAGGCTTCTGCATATGCAACGCTACTGGACAGCAGTTGGTCGCTCGTGGTGACGGTGGAGTTGCTGTTAGAATGGTGATTACAAGTAGGGAGGGATATGGTTTTGGATTGATATGATCGTTGTTGTCGAGGATCTCGTCACGTCGATATGCCGTTGGAGCTTCCTATGCCTTTACGAGCCATCAATATGAAGGGAGAAAGTTGCAGGGTAGCAGGGAGTGTCCTCGACTGTGCTAGCGGAGGTCATGGGTTCGAATCCTGGGCTTGACGTTTTTGGGTGGCGTAGGTGACGATTGGTTCTCTGTGGCTGCTGATGGCATCTCGATCGTTACCGATTGGGGCTAGTACGGATGTACAGAGGAGTCAAGAGCTAGTTAAGGACGTTGCGAACAAGTATCACAGTTCCCGGGTTCGATCCGCACAACCCGCATTTTCTACAGGTTTAGCATCGACGTATTAGACAGCACTC